ATCAGAGAAACTCTTATAAACTTCTTTCAATATTCTCTCACGATTACCATAATTTTCAGGGTAAATTCTAAGAGAAAATTCTCTCCATGTACGAATCGAAAGAAAAGCTTTATGAAACTAGAGAAGAATTTTAAGAAGCAGATATTTAAAAAATATTACATTAAGATATGGGGATAGAGCGAGGATCAAAAGATATAAGAAACAAATGTAAGAACGCGAAACAAATAAATGTAAAAATATTTCAAAAATGATGCGCCCGCAGGTGCATCATTTTTCGCGCAAGTTCGCGATAGTTTCCGTTATTTGTTATGGTTACAAGTTTAGTTAGGTAAGTCAAGGAAGGAAGTGGAGTCTCTCTTTTAATAATTGCAAGGAAATAGAACTGTGCTCGTTAACGGGAAAATGGTGCGGCTTGCCCTTTTTAATTATTCACGTCTTATGCACGTATTTGCGTAGGCACATCTACACACATAAATACATACATATATGGGGTGATGCATCTCAGGTGAATCGTATCGCTCTTCTCGAGCAAGAACGTTCGCATGAATGCGGACGAAAGTCTTGCGAAAATTCACCTTGCGCAATTGCTCTCGATCAGATTGTTACGTCTGTCTAACAGAATCAGTACTCGTCTTCGATTTCCTTTCGTGGAGATCGTAACGCAATGCTGTGCTATTGATTCCGTCATAGGGATCGATTCTATTTGCCTCCAATCGAGTAAAGCTTAAAGGCTACTTAAGTCGTGTGAATGTCTTTTTTAGGATAGATTGGATCTTATATATTATCTTATAAGTAATGTGTGTGTGTGTGTGTGTGTAAAGATTCCGAAAATTGTTGTGTTAAACTTTGCTTCGAGAGTATCTTCGAGATGTATCTTAAGGGGGATGTATTAAGAATGTCGAATTTTATAAAGATAAATGTTTACTTTTGTAACGGAGTATCTACTTCCGCGCAGGAGAACGGATTTTTTTTTTCGCTTTCGCAAAAGCTATTATAACGTCATTCGTGGGAATCAGTCCAGTCTGTGAACGTTACTGAATCCAATGGTCGATTTCTTCACTTCGCGATAATTTCGTTCGTTTAGACTGGGAAAAGCACTGACTTAGCTCGCTCCATTATTTAACAAATACCGATCACTCTTTCTCTCTTTATCGTAACATTTTGTTTGCATTAGAAATTGTCTTCTTAAAAACTCGTTTTATTGTGATTTACGAAAATCATAAAATATGTAAAGATGCTATATCGCGAAGAAGAATATATATTTATTGAAATCATTGAAAAAATTCATCTCGTCCAATAATTTCAATAAATATCTATTAATAAATATTTTTACATATTTTTCGTTTTTCGTAAATCACACATCAGCGATCTTTAAAACGATTCTGAAATCAAAAATGAGTTTTTAATATATAATTATTTTTATTCTACGTTTGCAGCGAGATGATGTTTTCAAGAGCTTCTTTTAGGATGCTGTAATTGGTAGATTCGCATTGATATCCTTGAATCTCTATGTATGGCATAAGATGAAGTAAATCCTGTCGTTTTACTTTCAACGAGCCTTCTTAAATAAGCGTTATAATTCAATCATATATATTTTGTCTCTTATTTGTGCTATAAAGATCTCGTAATAACATGCGTGTTATGTTTCAAGTCGAAATTTCATAACAGTAATTATTAAACATCCGCAGTAATCACTTGCATAATGCTGTGATTAATTAATCAAGTTACTTCTCGACGTTAATCGTAATTGATCTAGCTGATTTTAATCCTCGGCGCGATAAAAAATCTCGCTCTCTTTTGCTTACGCACTTTCGCCTCCTATTACAATTAGAGAAGACCGCTATACGCGTTAGATTTTTCTGGCTAGATTAACGTGCGCGAAACTGTTGGCGCTTTTCCCGCTCATTAGCATCGGTAAGCGAACGAACACATGCCTTATCTCACATTACTAGATATCATGTTACCCAACCGAGCGTTTCTCGTTTTGCATAATGAATGTGTAAGGTGTTCGTGCTCCAATTCGGCTTTCCTATTAATCCTCCTTTTTCTGGACTTATCCGCCGTTGCTATTCAATTAAAGTCGCTCCTAATCGCTCCTAATTATGTAGTTAAAAAAAAAGAAACAAGAAATATATGGATTAATCATTTCTCGTAGTTTAATGCTGGATATGATTTCGTCTTTCAAATTGTCCTGTTACTGTTTTAACAAAAATTTGCGATTTAAGTTGTTGAAATAATGGGCTATTTTATCCAAAATTAAACGTGTTATTTTCAATCCTTAACAAGAATTTGTTATGTTGATTATAGTTATAAGATACCTAATCATAATTAGATATAGAGGATCTCTCTAGTGTAGAAAAGTTGCGAATTATATCATCGGATTTATTAAATAATTTTTAATTATATTTATTCAAATTTTAAGATTTTTAAGACACTAAATATAATTATGAATTTTTTAAATCAAATGAATTTGTTAAAATTGACAAATTTAAAATCAACGAAATTAATATAGATGTCAAAATTAAAATATTTCCGAATTTTTTTCATATATGTATATTGTAACAAATTTACTTACAATTAAATTCATATTTATGGACCTAAAAAATGTATAATTAAAAAAACGTATTATTATATTAAAAATTTAATTAAACATAATTGAAAATTTTTAAAATAGCTTTCTTTTATCATTTTAATCGCAAACTTATCAACATTACAATATAATAAAACAACTTAAAAATTAGGATCATATACAATATAAAGAAAACTACGAGGAAATAATTTTCTCTTCCGTGTTAAAAAATGATTTTTTTTTATTGAACTGTGTTATTTTTGTCGATGCCTCTGAAGGAGTGACGCGGCGCACGAAATTTACATAGGATCTGTACGCGATGACTTTCTCTAACAGGTTATCGGCAAGAATCATCTCTTCGAGTATGTTACATTGTGCGTACGCCTTTTATGAGGCGTCTCGACACAAGGATGTTTCAATGGGCCATCTTCCTAATCGTACTTTGTTCCTCTCTTTTGTATCTCTCTTTGTTCCTGCGCTACCCTGACCCACATTTTGACATGTTTACATTCGACGCGTTTAATCTTCATTAAATGAAACGTCGGTTTGATTGGATGGCATGTTAACGCGACACGAATTGAGAATGATGATTAATATTTTACATACATTTTCATCCTCCTTTCTATTCGTATGTACAATTAAAAAGTCATTTGTATAAATTTATTTTAATATATGTATATATGTATATTATTTCGATATTTAATTTATTTTAATCTGCAATTTCTCGATTGCACCTCGCGTCGATATTCTCGAGCTTCAAAATATCGATGCGGGGAGCATCGAGAAGGAAGTTAGGATATTTTAATTAGTACAAGGGATAATTGGTAGCAGAAAAGCATGCGGTTTTACGAAGCCTCCCCGTGGGAGGCTGCTGGAAGTCTCACAGTAGGCAACAATCATTTTATTATGTCGTTACCTACACGTACCCTTTCTCGAATCTCGTAATTACTAGTAACAGCTTAGTTCAACGTTTCTCAATCTTTTCCTCTTTGATCATTTCCGGGTTTACACTCGTCGTTTCTTTTTTTATCGCGCTGGTCGAGCGAAAGAAAGAACGTTTGAATGTAATTCGCTCTAAAATTTACGTCTACTGTACACGACTCTTATTCACGATCTCTTAAAAGAGTATCACACGATTCTTTATGTTGAGAACCGTCTAATCGACTCGTGCATACAATCGCGTAACCGTGTATTATGCAAAGTATTTTCCTTTTTTCCTATTATACGTACACGAATGATTGTTTCTAGGTTTTGATTACTCGGAAATGACAAGATTATGATAAGGAGCAACGAGAAAAGATACGATCAAATTATCGAAGAACACGTCGGAATTTCTTTTATTTAGCTTCTGTGTCATTACGTTATTTAATCTTTATTCTCGTTTTAATTAATTTATTTTTCGGTTAAATAAATCTGCAATAGATTCGCATATTTTCTTGTAATACGAAAAAATATGATATTAAATTTTACATTTAAACATATTCATATATTTTGTTAGAAATTATTCAATTACATATGTTATAATAATTTTCGATGTTACGGTCGATTGTATATTTAATCGATAAAAATGATCATTGAAGAATCGTTGGGCAAAGATAACTTTACTTATTTTTTACTCGAGATAATTATTGTCACAATCATTTTCGCGGTAAAAATTCGCGTAGGGTTCGCATTTTGTGCGCATATAATAAAACCTTTGATTCTCTCTTATAATCAACTAGCCCCCTATGAATTATTCCCATAATTATTCCTTCAGTGTGGCACTAACGATAAATTATGCACCATCATTGAAGCTTCAATGAATTCACGAGACGTGTAATTACGGGCGACAATACGTGCAATTTATTATAAATACCATTTCCATTATGTCAGAACGACGATTTCATTCTCGGCTTCACGGTGTATTACACATTTCTTCCGTACGATAATGACTATATATAATACCTTACAATATCATGTTGTTTAGATTGTCGCGATTAAATTATTAATAAGCCGTAACAGATCCGGCATTCGAATATAATGATTTATTTAACCGAGCGTGTATTAAGTCTTTCGAAGGTCTTTTGCGTATACGATTAGAAAGGGTAAAAAAAACTTACCTGCCTTCGTGATTTTGTTTCATTCACCACCGGGCCGGATGGTCCTTGAGTGCATAACCTTTGGATGAAGTCACTGAGCATCTCGTTCTTCATGTTGAAGACGACTTAAATGCCATGCGAGTAACATCGCCTCGCGATATACTCATCGATGATTATCTCATTTCGAAGCGAATAAAGCGTATAGTAAAATGATTTTAAATTATAAATAATTTTAAAAGAATTTTCTAAATAAATTTTTAATAATTTTGAAACGCGCGAGTAAATTTTTATTACTGAGAAAAAAATCTATTCTGGATAAGATATGTTTCGTTCAAACGGAAGTACAAAAGTTCTTCAGAAAATCTTTAAGAATATATATGTGAAAAATTTATTTACATACGAAGGTATGTGTAGTCTTTAAAAACATCTACTTATTGTTAGTAACAAACGCGTTTTCCGATATCGATGAACTTTTCAGGTCCTTCATAAAGGTAGATAGTGCCTTTCGCATGTCCCATTCAGCTTCCGACAGATACGATTCGCACCATTCTTCGTTCATTTTGGTGATTTGTTTCAGTCTGGTGATCAGCACAGATTTTTCGCTCGGACTGAAGCAAATCGATACCATCTCGTCGTACGCGCATTTCACTACTATTTTTTCGGGTGTAATATCTTTTGGCGCTGCGTATATGTGATACTGATCGTTTAAAATGTGATATTCGTTGTCCAGGGCAGCCGACAGTACGAACGTTCTGGAAAATGATAGCACGTTTATGCCAGAACTTAGCTTCTTGAATAATCCCGAAACGCAGAACACGATGCACTTTTCGTCGTCGTACATGACGTCATACGTGAAGGAATTTCGGTCATGAAAGGACCTGGGCAATTTGCTCAGCGCTACCAGAATCTCCTCTTGAGTATGATAGAGAAATGTATTTTTTTTCGCTCCTTTCTTTAATAAATTTCTGTTGCCCGTGTACAGATTCAGTCCAGTATTCTGCGCGATGTTGTTAGGAATACTGAAACTCATGGAATAATAGGCATCCTTGTGATAAAGTCCTCGTAGAATCGTCCGGTCGATTTGATCGTGCAGATTGAAGAAATGATGGGCGAATTTGTGCACGAGACGCTGCGTCTTCTCGTTTTGAAAGTAATCTTTGTATATCAATGGCATATTTGGCACGAGAGATACACCATCTAGCTCCTGTATATGCGGGCAATACTTTCTCGCAGACTCGACATACTGATTCGCAGTGGAATAATTCTCGCAAAGTGGATTTCCGTCCAACCAGAGTTTAATGATCTCCAGATTCTTCAGGGGAGCTAGCGCAGTTATGTTCAATAAGTTATTGTGCCTCAGGTCTAAATATTTGATAGACGTTAAATTCGAATTCTCTATAGCTGATATGTCGAACAGTGCGTTACGTTGTAGATTCAAATACTCGAACGTGGCTATAGAGGTTTTCGCCAGCTTCAAAACGTGATTGGAAGTTCTAGGCTGCGACAACGGACAGTAGACGATCTTGTCTACATCTGGATCCAAGTGAAAATTTTCTAGGTTCAACATCTTCAAATTTGGATCGTATCTCTTGGTTAGTGCAGTCAACAGTAGGGGTTGTATGTGGATTTTCAGATCATTGATCGAGGCGTATCCCAAAGTCACTACAAGAATGATGGCATCCCCATTGACGTCCTTAATGATCAGATTTGTCTTGCACAGTTTTTCGAGAGCAGGGCCGCAATTTCTCGCTATGAAATATGCATCGTCCCCGCAAACTTGATACTTCACCGGTATTAAATCAGCTGGTTCTATCGCCTTTAAAATAGCTTTCAAGACTGTCTCCTTCTTGTACTGGGAGCCTCTGATCACTTTAATTTTGTGCCAAATATCCGCGCGAGCCATCAGGGTCCTTTCGTGAATCATTTTTGCTCCCATAGCTATTCTTATAGCGATAGCAGAATCCATCTGAGAGGGAATAATTGGTGCATTCTGCACTTTAATATTTTCCGGCTTTAACATCTTAGCGCACTTTGTGTAGTATCGTAATTTGGAATATCTTCAATGCGTAGAAAATTTGTTTAGAAAAATCGTCAATTCTTCTCTTTATTTATTATACTTCTGGACTATTTTTCAATCATATATTTCCTTTTATTTGATAGCTTCTTCAATGTTTACATGCCTTCGAGGTTAACTTGCATGCTTCTCTGAAAAATTTATTAGAAAGAAATGTATACATTTTATACTCATATGTACATTTTTAAATTTGGAAATTATTTAGTTATAACATGATTAATGTCAATGTAATAGATATTAAAATACTTACTTGTTTTTATTCTTCTAACCTAATAGCTTCACTGTACACTATTGTAGCACAACGTGTTTCTAACGAGCTCTGATGAGCACATGTCAGAACTTAATGATACAATATACCAATGGTAGATTCTGCAGTTAAGTTCTCGTCGGTCTTCAAATGATCTCTGGTCTTACCATCTTGGTATTATAAGAATTACGTATGATTCCCGGAAGATGTCAGGACAATGCTATTTTCGATGCATAGAAGGCCACACGTTTTTATTTAAAAAAATAATAGATGACATAAAAGTTATTTTTTTCCCTTTCTCTTTATCTTTTTATTCTCTTTTACAATTCTATTTTATTAGTTCTTTTAAAAACAAAAATTGCAATATTAGTTTATTCAAGAATTTTATAATAAATTTAATAATTTTTCTTTAAACACTGTATATACATATAAGGTAAATTCATACATTTATAAATTTTTTTCACTCGCATTAAATTAATTTCAATGAGAATAATGTTCAACGAGAATAATCTAAATATGTAAAATTGATATAAAAATATTCTCTCTCTTCCTACATACAATATGTATATATATTTTATTATTTTCTTATTTTTTAATATTTTAAAATATATCTTATTTTTATTTATAATATATATAATATATTGATATATTTTATTTAATTTATTTTACGTTTCTAAAGTTATACAAAATTGTGTCTATATGTGTAAAAAATATATGTTTCAAGAATCTTCAAAGCCTCGTGCAAGCTATGATAGTAAGCTGTTAAGCGGCGGCTGATCTTTGATCTCGCGACACACTCGCAAAGATTCATGCGATTCATAAAGTCGGCGCGTTCTTTGGCGCACTTCCTCGTTCTCTCGTTAATTACAACCAGCTTACTGCTCGTTTCTTGCAGAATCGACTGTGTATCGTTTCTTTCAACGAGTAGCATATTAGCGATCTGCTATTTAGGCTTAAAAGACTGGAAGAACAAATTGATGTAACGTTTCAAGTTGTTCCTCTACTTTTAATCTCAATCTATAATTATCTATTTAGTTGGGAAACTATATATATACATGTATTTAATCCATCGTTGTTCTGCCCTTTTAAATTTTTAGGTGGGAAACTGCTTATTATTTAAGACATAAAATAGGAGCTCAATTTCCATATAAATTAAATCCATCAATTAAAATCAAATATGAAAAATCTGAAGTTGAAAATAGAAGCGAAATTTGGATTTTCGGAATGTCGATCTGGTATATAATATATGAAGATTCGCCAATTAGCTTAATTTAAAATCACACGTCTAATACGATCGAGAGAATGCAACTTCTGACATAGTCGACGTTCTCGTTTAATTATCTCTCCGCTAGTCAATAAATCCTCGAACAATTTAGCCGCACGCGTTGCGAAAGATTGAGTTTTATCCGCGATTCGCGAAAAAAAGCTTCGTACCGCGGGTGGTTTGTATCTTCTTCAGCAGCCGCGGCGCCTCATAATTCACTTAGATTCAGCCTCGCTTGTCTGCATGTCTTCTTGGTCGAGACAGCGGCAATTACGTCTTAACGTCGGCAAAAAGCGAGCGCACTCGAGCGTGTTTCTCGAGCGCATTTTAACAAACGCCAACCCCATAACGTAGCATCGTTTCACCTCGCGTTCGCTGCGATTCCGCAGGAATTTAGATCTCGCGAATTGAATAGGAATCACTGATCTCCATATATATATAAACATTTTTTGACATTTTATTGACAATTATTTTAAAATTGATTATATGTATAAGCGATACATTTTCTCATTTAATAATAAAAATATTTATCGTCAAAATAAACGCATTTGTAGACAGAGCCCACAACTATGTCGAATTAGTCACACGTTTTTTGTGATAGGAATACTTTCAAAAAATTAAAGAATAAAGAAAATTGAAAGAGGATTCAAATTACTCTAAATCTGTCCGCTTCGCGTTTTACGAGTGATTAAAATCTGATAAATTATAATATTATAATATAGTAATTGAATGAATACGAGAAACGTCACGAACTGTCACTTTGACAGCTGATCTTTTCGAGTTGAAATCTCCTATTTTTAAAATTTAAATCATTTATTTATGTACAGAAAAAGAGATTCTTTTAGTAATAATAATTAATATATGATTATAATTAGTAAAAAAATTTCGGGGTTGATCGAAGAGAGGCGATCGCTCTCCTTCCATTCTTTCTTTCTCTCTCCCGGCTCCCGTAATTCATTTAGCTGATAGTCAGACGAGACAGGCTCAATTACACTCGTGGCAAAAAGCCGCTCGCGACTGCCGCTTCTTCGTACGACGTGCGTGGTCCACAAGATGAGACGAGACGAGAGAGCAAACACGGGTGTCGCCGAAAGCAAATTCGTTGTCCTCTCCTCCACGGTCGAGCGCGATCATTAGAGGCTCCCTTTTCGCAAAAGCGATGCGACTTAAGATCGCGAATGTCGCGGAGCATCGGCAACGAATCTCGAAGACAGAATAAATACCTAAGTATCGTGAACACGTGTCAATCGAGAAAAACCGAGTCACAATTTCACATAGATTTTATTTAAAAAAATATAAATAACATCATGGGCGTCCTCAGGATTTTTTCCAGGAGGGAGGACATGATTAAATTTTTTTTTCGTAATTTTTTATATATAATTTTGTTATATTAAATATGCAAATAAATTCCAGTATTTATTTGAAAGGAAAAGAAATGCTCAATTTTTTTATTCCTTCCAAGAGGAGGCAAATGTCCCTTCTTGCTTCCCTCTGCGGACGCCCAAGTTTATGATATAAATTTCCTAACGAATCTACGATCGCGTATTCTTCAAGATGATTATCGAAGCGCGATGATTCCCTCGGGGAGGCGAGTTCGCAGGAATCGCGCTTCTTGCCCGGTTTTAGACACAAAGAGGACGCAGTTGGCTGTTCCCGGAGGAGTCGAGGTGGTTAATCGGCCGGTTAGCGTGGCCGAGAGGGCAAAGAGGTTCGCTCGAAAACAATGGCCCTCGGTGTTGATGGCAATATTTTAATGAAGTTAGCAAGAGTTCCCGGTATACCAACGGCTCCCTCGTCGTAGACGCAATTCCAGAAGCGCGAATGCACCGGGGGTGGCGGAGATCCCCCAGAAAGAAAAAGAGAGAACGAAACGGGGATCGGCAGGCGCCACTCGGCCACTGATTTCCACTTACCGATATCGTCCCACAAAGCTGCCTTCATCTGCCAGCCTACGCGGACGTTCTCTCGTTAACCCAATATCCCGATCTCGCGCACTTAAACTCGCGGAAAATGAGCTCGGCGTTATCAGACATTCATATACGAACGGCAGAGCATACTAAAGATCGTATTGAGGTAATTGAATGTCGAATGTTATGTATAAAATTTAAATAATATATTACTCGCAAGTACATCTCGATTTCGCCGTTTCACGTTTGATAAATATACAAGTCGCCTTCTTCGACCAGCTTATATGACATATGACTTTATTACTCGTTAAAAAATGCTACGCGAGTGGTAACACTTATTCGAATTAATGTGATAAAAAAATATACAATTTTAGCTGATTTTATCTCTTTGATTGATTTGCATTTTTTTCTAAATTTGCCTATGAAATAGGGTTCGTTTTAATCTATTTGAATAGCAAACATTAGATGGGTAAAGGGAGAAAGAGAGAAAGATCAACGTCGAGCAATGATTTACAATGAGAGGCGGATGACGATTACCGTTATAGTCGTGTATCAATCGAAGAAGCGTGGTAGGATGAAATCACACGGGCAAACAAATCGTTTTGCATGCGTTCAACGGACTAGGATAGGATCAATGTGATCGATGCTTTGCATACGAAGTGAAAAGGCGCGATTACGAGAGAATGCGATTATCGGTTCGCAACAGCGACGAAAGCACTCTTTTTTTATTGTATGAAAAATGCGAGAGTAGACTGTAAATGCAAGATTTATTTTAGATAAAAGTTTATTTTTAAAATAAATCTCATAAATTAATGAGATACGGTTCACTTTTATTTTGATGTATATAATGTCTATAAAAAATCTTTATTATATAGTTCTTATGCCGAAAAAATGGCGAACTTTCGTGACACTGTGGGAAGACATATATTTAATGTTATTTATTCTTATATAAGAAAGTGAGAACGCGAGAGAGATTTGGCGCGGATAAAATTTTTCGCGATAACGAAATGTTGCGCGTTAACGATATCGAACGAGCATTATTGAGATTTTCCATTTTGTGTATTCGGGCCGAACTAATTAATTTGCCTCCAATTAATTACCAACAATTGCTCTCGCTCTAATTACGGGCGCTCGATTAGAATCTGCGAAAGTTACGACCGAACGGAACAATCTTAAGGTCCCGGCTACTCACACATGCGAGTTCTCGTGAATAGAATTACCCATGATAAGACTTGACCGCAAAGCATTCTCTCTCTCTCTCTCTCTATTATATATATAAATATATTGCTCCAAGTACATGTGAGTTTTAATATTTTGTAGCTTCATCTCTTTTTACATCTGCGACGACGCAATCCATCTCCGCCGCTTATAATCCGTGTCCTTATTTTCGACGTGGTTATCTAACAAGGAATCCGAATAAATTATGCAAAGGAGCTTGATACACTTAAGTTCGCCATTTCGCGGACATCGATCTTCGGTCGAGATCACGTCCGCCTCTCTTACGTTCGTCACGCGCGATCGTTTAACGACTTTATCGGATACTTTATTGAAGCCGTAAAGAGCGACTTATACCGCAATTTTCACGCAGCAGCATTTTCTAAAGGTCTCGACGTCAACTCGATTCTCTTCCCTCAAATTCTGCCACACGGTGTGTCGATCGAATTCGATAGCCTCGCGCTTGCTTACGTGTACGACGTAAATACGAGGCATTATACATACACATACACTCTTGTACAAAGTACATATGTGTATATATATATATATATATACGTTTAGTTAGATGGACCAAACGTAGATAAGACTGTATAACAGAGGAGGAAGGGAGGAAAAGGGAGACGAAGGATGCAGGATCTCGTCTCAGAGGTTCTTGGGGAGGGATATTAAGGCTAAAGCTCTATCTGATGGTCTCTTCTCTTCTCTCCCATCGGGTTCTCCTTCTCTCTCTCTCTCTTCCTCTCGATTCCTGGCTTCGAGAGGGCGGTTTCGCGAGGGACGGTACAGGGGGTGAAGGGGTAAGGAGAGAAGAAGCCACGACTCGAAATTACTGCATCG